TTTAAGGTATTATGTTTTGTAAATTTAGAAACAAGATCTTTCTTAAACCACAGGTCATCAAAGAGCAGCCAAACCTCCAAACCAGTAATTTGCTAATTTTCCCCTACTTCAGACTGCCTGTGCTAATGTCTTAAATTCTCAAGCATTTGGCTACTTTTGTTTTAAACTTTTTGCTCTGTTTTCATAGACCATTAAATCATGCTGTGACACTAGGTGTGGCTTTCAGAAAGGCTTGAGCCCTAACTTACAGAGCTGTTCAGTTTCAGCAATTGCAGTTATTTGATTAATTGTAGTTTATTTTATTTCTGTAGGAGGAGAGTAAACGGTGGAGTGTGCGACTAGATATTTCTGCCCCTCAAGTGATATTTCCTGATGATTTCAAATTCAAGAATCCTGTGTTAGTTGTTGTGGATCTAGGAAGAATGCTGCTGACAAATACCCAAGGTATAGTGTGAAGTAATGGAAACACATCTTGGTAGATGGATCTGTCCTTCTCTGCTTAACCAAGTAAAGCTTTAAAAAAGATTTATGTAGTGCTTTTGAACTCCAAAGTTCACTTGTTACTTTTGTAATAATAGCTTTACTGAGATACATTTTAAAATGTGTAATTCAGTTGTTTTTGCATATTGATAGAGTTGCACAACTGTCACTATTATCTAATTCCAGAACTTTCATCATCTCAAGAAATTCTAAACCCATTAGCAGTCACTCTCCATTATCCCCTGTCCCAGCCCCTGCCAACCACTAATCTTCCTGTCTATGGATTTACCTATTCCGAACATTTCATAGGAATGGAATCATACTATATGTGGCCTTTTGTGTCTGGCTTCTTTCACTTAGCATGTTTTCAAGGTTTATTCATGTTGTATCATGTATCAGTAGTTCATTCCTATTTATGGCTGAATAATATCCCATTGTATGGATAGACAACCTATTATCCATTCATCAGTTGATGGATATTTGTGTTGTTTCCACTTTTTGGCTATTAAGAATTATGCTGCTGTGAACATTCATGTATAGGCTTTTGTGTAGTAGACAAGTATTTTCAGCTTCTTGGGTATATAATACTTCAGTGTGGAATTGCTGGGTCATATGGTGACTTTATGGTTAACATTTTGAGAAATTGCCACATTGTTTTCCAAAATGGATGCATCATTTTACTACCTTATTGGGAAGGTATGAGAGTTTCAATTTCTCTTCATCCTCGCCAACATGTTATTACCTGTCTTTTATTTTTATATTTTTATTTTTTAAGGAGGGTGCAGCTCACAGTGGCTCATACGGGGATCGAACCGGCAACCTTGGTGTTATTATCACCACGCTCTAACCACCTGAGCTAACCAGCCACCCCCATTGCCTGTCTTTTAAATTATAGCCATTTTTACAGGTGTGAAGCAGTATCTCATTGTGGTTTTTCTTTGTCTTGTGTGACATTTTGTAGTTTAATAAACATTATTTTTCAGCACTTAATTTTAGGAATAGAGGTTCAATCTATTTAGGGGCATTAGAGAGACTCCTGTATAGAAAGAGACTCCTGGAGGGTAATTTCGTTATTATGATTAGAGCCACAAAAAGTCATTGTTTACCTTGAGATGGCAGGGAAGAAAGAGATGATCATGAGGTTACAGAGAGTGGG